TTAAACACCAAACACCAAACGTTTGAAGCTGTAGTGACTCGTTTGCTTCACCTCAATCCTTTCATTCTTTTTACAATCTTCGTCCAGTTTTACTTTCAAATGACTAATCTTCCATTATAGTTCGTGTAACGAACAAACAAACAAACAAACAAAAAAAAAAAAGTTCTTCGTATTTCAAACACCAAACACCAAACGTTTGAAGCTGTAGTGGCTCGTTTGTTTCACTTCGATTCTCCCATTCTTCTCGCAATCTTCATCCACTTTCACTTTCAAACGACTAATCTTCCATTACACGTCGTAACAAACAAATGAAAAAAAAAAAAACAATTCTTCGTATTTTGAACATCAAACACTCGTTTGAAGCTGTAGCGATTCCGTTCCTCGCGCAGTCTTCGAAACGATCTTCCTCGAGGCTCCACCTGGCATTGTGCTCTCGTCGTGCGGACAGTCAAGAACCTCTCGATAGACAGACAGACAGACAGAAATCGATGCTGGTCGGCGACGTTAGACCCTTGTGACGGCGATCCCCGGTCTCCCGGGGCCGAATGCCTACCTGGACGGCCTCCACGTTTGATTCCTGTACCGGCAGAGCAACACCTTCTTGAACGCCTGGCGGAACACCTTGTTGAAGATCGTGTAGAATATCGGATTGACCATCGAGCTGGCGTAGCCGAGCCATGTGGCCAGGTCGAAGATCTTGTGGTCGATCTGTCTCTCGCAGTTGGGGCACACGGCTGGTATCAGGTTCAGGACGAAGAACGGCGCCCAGAGGACGACGAACGTGAAGAAAACAACGCCGAGCACCTTCGTCGCTTTCTGCTCGAGCCGGATGATCCTGCCGTGGCGCGAGCTGTTACGCGAGACCACGCTGCTCGTACGCGAGTAGTGGCTACGCACCGGTGGGCCACCCGAGGAGTACCTGTGAGGGCACGGCGAGGACGAGTTGCTGCTCTGCTTCGAGCTGATGCTCGCCGCGCCGTTGTGGGCACGCATCGTTGCCGCGCGGCGGATCGGGGCCCCTCTCGACATCAACAGCGAGGTTCTCGTGTTCCCTGGTTCAAACGGGAGGAATTTTTCGTCATTATTTTGGTCTCTTTTTTTTTTTTTTTTTTCTTGTTCAGTTTGGTCTGTGTTTGGTGTTATGTGGATGTGTTATTTAACCAGTTGGAATTGTAACATCAGACAGTGGGATTTGTCACTCTGGTAGAGTGACACATATATCTCGTGTACATATTATTATGTTCTTGTATTAATAATTACGTATCGGGATATTTATGATAATATTTATGATATTTATATAATATAAATAATATAATATTTATATAATATTTATATAATATTAATACAATATTTATATAATATTCATAATAATCCTGTTGCAATGTTAGTGACATGATTATAACGATATTAAATATACAAGCACATGCACAATATTTTTATTTATTAATATATTATATATATAATATGATATATTAATATATTTTATATATCGTTATATATATAATATATTAATATATATATATATTTTTATATTGTTATATATAATATATTATTTTGTATTAATATTTTATTTATTAATATAGAAATTTTATTTATTAATGTGGAAAATATTGTACAATATTATAGACTAGAATAATACATGTATGATCTGTGGAATTATATTTGATGGAATGGCACAAAATACGTGTAATATATAGTATATATAATAATATTATATATTAGTACATTTATGTGCATTATTTTCGTTTATTAGTTAGTGTAATGTTGTAGGAAATTCAAATAGGGAGAGAATGGTTATAAAATATTGTACAATATAATATGAAACACAGTGGCTGAAAGTGAATTCGAGCAGCTCTCATAGAAGAACTTGTCGACTAAAATTTATTTCGCTTTCGGCACTCTACGAGCTGTTTCAAATTAAATTTCCAAATGGTGTAGGCACCAGTGGTGTATTTTCACAATTGATTACCTACGTATTTAACTTGGTAATTATTATAATTGAGGCGCAGTCTGTGCTTAAACTGACGACTCTCAGTTAATCTCCGCAGCTGTTTTGCCGTTCTACGATATTAAACTCTTCTGACGGTATATATATTTATTTAATAGCCGTTTCACCGAAGTGACGATTAATCGGGTTACACTGAATTCAACGCGTAGAATAATCTTTATATTCGCAGGAGTAAGATAAAAATAAAATGTTCTGAATTGTTCTATAATTTTCTTTTATAGAGTTACAACAATTTATCGTTGTTAGTTCTGTTGCCCTGTAAATTCTCAGGAGCTCAAGAAGAAAAAGGCTCGAGAACTCAAACTGGTTGAAACAATACACAACCCTCGTCATTTTCAATCAATCAATATAAAAACACCAAATTTACGACTGTCAAACTAGTCCTATGCTTCAAAATGAATTGTCATATAATTTTCGTTGCCTCGTAAATTCTAATAACAGGAAAAAAAAAAAAAAAAATACTTAGAATCTCAAACTGATTGAAACGATATACAACCTTTCTCATTTTCGATCAAACACCAAATTTACGACTGTCAAACTAGAAGTTTGCTTCAAAACTGAATTATCATGTAATTTTCGTTGCCTTGTAAATTCTAATCACTCGAAAAAAGAAACAAAAAATACTTTGAAACTCAAACTGATTGAAACAATATACAACCTTTCCCATTTTCAGTCAAACACCAAACTTACGACTGTCAAACTAGAAGTTTGCTTCAGAACTGAATTATAATATAATTTTCGTTGTCTTACAAATTCCAAGACCTCAGGAAAAAAAATATTCACACACTCAAACCGATTGAAACAAGACATAACCTTTCTTATTCCCAATCAAACAATATGAAACCACCAAACTTACGACTGTGAAACTAAAAGTTCTCTTAAGCTTCCAGACGAATTATCATATAATTTTTGTTGCCTTACAAATTCAAATACCTCGAGGGAAAAAAAAATATTCACAGACTCAAACCGATTGAAACAACACACAACCTTCCTTATTCCCAATCAAACAATATAAAACCAAACAAACTTACGACTGTGAAATTAAAAGTTCTATTAAGCTTCCAGACGAATTATCATATAATTTTCATTGCCTTACAAATTCAAATACCTCGGGGAAAAAAAAATATTCACAGACTCAAACCGATTGAAACAACACACAACCTTCCTTATTCCCAGTCAAACAATATAAAACCACCAAACTTACGACTGTGAAACTAAAAGTTCTATTAAGGTTTCAGATGAATTATCATGTAATTTTCGTTGCCTTACAAATTCCAAGACCTCAGGAAAAAAAATATTCACACACTCAAACCGATTAAAACAACACACAACCTTCCTTATTCCCAATCAAACAATATAAAACCAAACAAACTTACGACTGTGAAACTAATAGTTCTATTAAGCTTTCAGACGAATTATCATATAATTTTCGTTGCCTTACAAATCAAAATACCTCGGGAAAAAAAAAAAAGTATTCACAGACTCAAACCGATTGAAACAACACAACCTTCCTTATTCCCAATCAAACAATATAAAACCAAACAAACTTACAACTGTGAAACTAAAAGTTCTATTAATCTTCCAGACGAATTATCATATAATTTTCTTCGACAAAGTGATAACAATTTACTTATTACATATCACATGTACAACCATTTTATTATTACATATTTCTAGCCGTTTGTTTATTAACTTGCTCCGGAATAAAAAAACACAGGGACTCAAGTCGACTGAAAGAAATTAACTGAACATCAACAACAAAGTATCAAAATCAACTAAAATAACACATAATCACGTTGTTGTCAACCAATCAATCATCCAATACCCACCCAAGCTGGATCCTCTTCTGCCGCCCCTCCACGTAACCACAGAGTTCAACTCGTAGCTCCTGCTCGGCTCCAACGTTCTGCCGCTGTTGCTCCTCCCTAGAAACGCCGCCTCGAGGTTCTTCCCCGAGATCGGTTTCATTGTGTCGCTGGAAACGATCACGATCTCGCTGGACGGCTGCGGCGGTGGCCTCTTGGAGGACTCGCCGAAATAGGGGCAGGTGCACGGCGGTGGTAACGTGATCTCGACTTCCTGTTTGTCGCCTGGCTTCCTCTGCGCGGCGGCGCCATCCTCGTTCGACGAGTTCTTCCGCGAAACGGAAGAGCCACGTTGGCCGAACAGCGGCTGCTCGTGGAAGCTGAACGATCGTTTCCTCGGCGTTCTCGGCGACACCGTCTCCGCTCGTTCCAGATGCGCCTCGTTGAACGTGGACGCTCGCCGACGGTGCTTCCACGGCGTCGGCGAGCTCGTGTCTTCCTGAATCGAGAGGCTCGTTCGCGAACCGGACGCGCTGCTGCCGCCGCTCTCGCCGCTTCTGAGGAATTACACCGATTGGATTAGAATTTTTTTGAACGCGAGATAGCGTTGATAGCGATCTCCCGAGCGTTCGTTCAGTTTCCTTAAACTGACTGCGGACCGTAACGAGCGACCGAGCCGTATACAGATAATTCGTCGCTCTCTTTTCGAGAGGCAATGAATTTA